TAATTGTTGTTTTTTTTTTTGTTTTTTTATTGTTTTCGGTTTTTGTTGCTACCATTTGACGACTTTTAATACACATCTACGAGTAACTCTAGCATAGGTTGGTTACAAGTAAAAGTCGTAAATATATATATACATATACATGTAGCATACGTGTGCGTATGTGTATATATATATATTTAGTTAACTGTATGTATGTATATATATATATATATATATATTGTGTATGTATATTTGTTATTTAAAACTTGTTGTAACATTTAATAAATTTAAACATTGATTGCTCTTGCGTTATGACAATAGGTTTTATATATCTCAATATGTATACATATAGGTGTATATATGTGTATATATATATATGTCTGTATATATATATATATATCTTCTCTCTACAAATTCTAGACAATTCAATATATAGCATATTGTTTCTTATTTAAAGCGCTCTTTCCTTGTGATTATCCTTGACTAAGCTTTAAGGTATTTAAGTTCGCCTTTGCATTTGCACTTGTGTCTATCTGTGTGTTGTGTATGTATGTAAATTGTTATGTATATATATATATATTTTTTTATTATAGGAAAATTTGGTTTCTTTTCTTTTTACGTCGTCCAGCGACATTTTATCATATTTCAAACATATGATAGGCTTCCTATGACAGGAATCTTCAGGCATTCAAAGGGTTAAACATATGTATTTGTAAATTTTTAGTACACATACGTTCAGATTGAATTCAAAGTACAGTTGACTCTGGAATACATTTTGTTTCTTTCGTTCTGGAGAATAATTTTGAAGAATGCGCAAAGATTGCGCCTGTAGCCAAAAAAAATTAGAAAAACGAATGGGAGCATTTGAGAACAATTAGCATTATGTACAAACTAAGCGAATGATGGATAATTTAATTTAACTAAATGCTGACGAATTAAAAACACACTTGCCTAACAACTATACATTCATTTATGCTTTATATTTATATATATGCGCTGAGACAACATCGAGACTAATTGAAGGAAACTCATTATCAATTTTGTTATATTTCCGATTGCAACAGTTAAGGGTCGAAATATTGATGTATTTTTTTTGGGAATCGTTTGTGGGCTCGAACTAATGCCTGCTGACCTGCTGGGCTGGGCAGGCAGCAAGCCGAGTTCAATGAACAAGTTGTCGCTGACTGACTGACCGACTGACTGACTGACTGACTGACTGATTGATTGATTAATTGAACGTTTGCATGATTGATTGACAGATTAATTTGTATATATAAATATATGTGTGCTCAATTGTTGATTTGATTGTTTTGCTTTTAGGATTTGCGGTTGCCAATCACTTAGAGTCTAACAATAGTAGTATAAAGTATTCAAAGGTAAATTAGTTTTAGCTATATAGTTGTACATAGGTTTAAAGTTTAGGTACATGGTACATTTTAACTCTCGTTTTTATGCATTTTTGTGTATCTCACAATTTACTAATCTTCTAATAAAACAGCAACAAACACTTTATAGTTTCTCTTTGGGTTTTTTTTTCAAAATACACAGATTTCAATTGAGGAAAGTATGTGATATGACACAACAGAATTGCTAATTACTTTGCATTCCATTTTTGTATGCCACATTTTGTTTTATTTTTATTTTTTCATTTATTATTATTTTTTGTAGCCTTCTGCAAGTTGTTTTTATTAGCTTTGTTATTCTTATTATATTTAGCTTATCGTTCAGTTTGCAGTTCGGAATTAAAACAAACACCTGAGGGTATACAAAATTACTGCAAGTGTTTTTCTTGTTATGTGTGTGTGTGTGTGTGTGTGTGTGTGTGTGTGTGTGTGTGTGTGTGTGTGTGTGTGTGTGTGTGTGTGTGTGTGTGTGTGTGTGTGTGTGTGTGTGTGTGTGTGGTGTGTGTGTGTGTGTATGTGTGTATGTATGTGTGTGTGTGTGTGTGTGTGTGTGTGTGTGTGAATATGAGGGCTAAAACTTTCCCAAACATTTGATAGTAGCAGCTAGAAAGAGACAGAGATAGAGAGAGAGAGAGGGAGAGCGAGAGCTGCTGTTGCAAATACTTTTGGCAATTACAATAAACAGTCAAGAGGTACGAGTTTTAGTTTAACTGGTGGTAATCGAGCGGTGGTTAATTCAATTCGGCTTCTGTCTGGGTTGTCTCTAGTCATTAGGAATCAACACCAAACAAATAAATGCTGGGACTTATACATACTAACTTATCAATTCCTGAATATGCATAAGTCTATATATACTAAGAGAAAAGTTTAGTACTATGATTAAACGGCTTCAATGATTTTGCTATACCCTTCTTCTTTTTTTTTGCATTATCTAATTTCATTTGTTCAAATTTTGTGTAAGGTGCACACTCAGCACAAAGTTTTGGCATCGAGCATCGAGTCAAGACAACAAATTTTTGGCTTATGCCGAAATTAAATCAATTTTAATTACTTTTACTTCACATTTCCATTGGAAGCAGCTTTTCAGAATTTTAGTTAAATCAAGCTGTTAATTTATATGAAACTATTTTGTATTTGTTAAAATAATACGAGAACAGTTTTAAGTGCTTAAATTATGATTTATGTACTTTAAATCCGGCTTGAACTAAATTCAGAACTGTGCTAGGCCTGGTTTAAGTCAACATTTAGTACTACTTTCATTTCAATCTACTTTATTATATGCAAATATTAGTATTAAAATAATGAAATTGAACTTTTATTTAATACCTAAGCGTAAATATGTTTATTTACTACTATAATCGTATTAATTATAATTGTGACTGTTATTATTCAATGGAAGCATATTATAAATTGTAATTAAATTTGGGAAGGCAGAATGATTGCCATGATGAAATATTTGATAAGTCTTTTGAACGTTATGCAAACGATAAATGAGGAAACAGTTTTGTTGTTGTTGGCCGTCGAAATGCCAATTGCTGGCGGTTGCAAAACGTCACAAATACACATTGCACACACACATATTCACACACAGAGTACAGAGACAGGGAGACATCACATCACACATTCACCGACTGGAATTGCATTTTGATTGTCGTAATTAGTCAGCCGAGCAACGCAAACCTAACACACATATCAATTAATGTCGCCCAGTCACCCACCCACATGAAATTAGCTTTATTGTGGCTGCAAAATGGGGCAGAGTGAATGCAGGTTATTTGCTTGGCCTGGGGGGAGAGTTTGGCGAGCGGGGTATTGTACATTTTTATCAGCGAACACAACGATGGCCATTAAAAGCGACATTCACTTTGGCATTGGCATTGGCATTGGCATTGAGGCTGTGTCCCATATTACTCATACGGCATGGGGGCCACGTGCAGCACCAGCAACCCATAAAATGCAGCAAACTGCGTGTGCCTCACTAAGGGTGGGTAGGTGTGTGTGTGTGTGTGTATGGTTAGTAGTAATAGTTGGGCACAGGTGTCCTTGACCTGTCCTTGATGCAGCTGAGTCGAGGCTGCGTTCATTCAGTGCACATTTTATGTTATGCTGCGAAGTCATATTATATATGCAACCCCGTAATGGACGACCTTACGAATATCTCACCTCCATTTCTTGCCGCTCTCTGAATTCGGTTTCGAATATAATGCAAAAATATTAATACAATAACAACAAAATAAATAATATAATGCAATAAATAATAAATAGTACAATATAATATTATGAAAAACATAATATAATCGTATAAATAATATAAAAAGAAAAAAAAAAGAAATATAATAAATAGTGATAAACAATAGATAACATAATATAATATAATACAATAAATTATAAAATATACTAAGTAAAATAATGTTTTAAATTGTATAATATAATAAATAATATAAAACAATAATCAATATAATATAATAAATAATATAATGTAATAAGTATTTGATTAGCTGGCTTCAGGTACGGGGTTCAATTTATTAAAATAAAAGTTAAACAATTTTGCATAAAAACTCGTGAGAATTATAACGTCCAAAAGAAAAAAGCTCAGCTCAATCGTGCTTTTTAGACAGTTTAATCTCCAGTTATAAAATATCTATCGACATTGTATATATCTCTATATCTATATAAATATGCACAAGCATAACTAGTCTGAATATTGCGTTGTTATTTAACGTAAATTGTTTTTATTTGTTTTTAATATCATTAGCATAGGAATGCTCGTTTTTTAAATTGGGTGGTAGTTCGTCGTTGGCTTTTTATTTTTTATTTATTTTCTTTGTAAACTTTGCCCAGCGACATTTTGGTCAAATTAATGGCTATGGGCGAAATGCAAATGGGTTTGGTAGGCGGGGGCCGGAGGAGGACATACCTCAACGTAGGTGTGCAAATTGCTCCATCAAAATAAGCCTCTGATGTTTTTTCAGATGTTTTCTTTTTACGGTCATGGGGGGTCTGTGTAATACCCTGTACTCGATGTATAATAATGGGATTCTCGATGCTTAACTTTGAAAATGTGTATTAAATGCAGACTTACCCAAAGAATTTGAAATGTGTGTGTGTCATGTCTCAATGTATGTGTGTGTGGCATGTATGTGTGTTTTGTGTGAGTTTAAATTTCCACGTGAAGCTGGATAAAAACATGATTTGGTAAATGCACAGCACAGATTAACTAATAAACGAGAGGGTGTCTCATAGTCGAGCTGTTTTGTCAACTAGGGCATTCACACTTGTTACTCCTCGCTGCAGCTGCCTTCATATTCCTTCAGGCTCTGTCCTTCAACTAGCTTTTACACACACACTCTCTCTCTCTCTCTCTATTTTCCTCTCTGTGGATTTTCCTTATCGCCCAGCTGTTTCTCTACCTGTCCGCAGTTTCATTTTCCACATTTACGTGACGCGGTTTTCATTTTTATTTTCGTTTTCACAATTGCCGTTTGTTTGTTGATTTTTCTATGCGTTGTCGCAACATTTGTCTTTGCTCAGATAAAAAGAGATGCTGACTGACAAAGCGGGAATGAATGAGCGCGAGGACTGAGGGCTGGAGGGGGGTTGTAGTGGGTAGTGTTCGAGTATTGGTTAAAGACTCGATGAAAACAAATATTAATAATCTTTTCAATTTTTTTTTTTCATATATATTGCGCGCGTTCCTCCAACTGTCTTCCATTGTCCTCTGCTAGCGCTTATGTCTGGACGGGCACATTGCTGTCCGCCTCCTGGAGCACAGGTGCTGTCCAGACGCCGCTGCCACTGCGCGTCTTGCGCTGCTGCACGATCCCGTCCATGATGTCCAGCTGCAAATTGTGTATGCTGCCGCGATGATCAGTTAGGGGCGGTCCGCCGATGATGCTGCCACGACGACTGCCGCTGCAAGGTAGAGGGTAAATAGTTGAGATATTTATGATTCAATCACAAATCGACCTTGCACCTGCTCTCTTCGCCTGGCAGCTAACAAATGTGAGAACGGGAGGGATTAGCAGCAGCCCCAACAACAACAATCTGATGCGCTGTACTGTACCACATTGTTGCTATCCAACCGAACCAGTTCGATTCCTGAATCGAAATTTGTTTTGTATTATGAACCGAAAGTCAAACTTTAACTGCAAACGATTTAAAATAGGATCTGATTCATCTACTATCTTTTTTTAATCTTCTGATTAAAATTTAAAAACATTTGAGACTCAGCCCCAAAGTATTTACACCTTGAGCTTTAATCAATGCAAAAAGGTTTTGTTATGCATAAAAATTGCATTTGCAAGCCAAACTTCGAAGCAGACGCAAAAACCGAACCTGAACACAAGAAGATGGTTCCAACCTTCAACCGAACCTGCCAACACTTTTCTGTGTTTGCAGACCTCTACTTCAGCATTGATAGCTTGATCCTTAACTTAAGGAACAATTGCTCGGAAATAAAGCCCGCATATAAAAACATTTTCAAGCTACATGCTTCTAAGATGTTTTGTCTAGTTTCTAACTATTTCTATTTCTGTTAGAGATAACTCGAAGGCTGCCCGTATTGGCCACATAAAATAAGAATTAAATGCAAGAGCTCACAAAAAGTGTACATATTGTATTTTCGATACATGTTGTTGCAATCAGTCAGCGGTCTATGCATTTAAGTTGAGCCGTTTTAGGGCTGCTTTAGACTTGCAACCTGCCCGTTTCAGGGACAATCCCATAAGGCTATCCCATCAAACATTGCTGGGATATCAATATTGTTGCTGGCACAGCACAAAAGCATTGAACAGCCGGCGGCGTAATTCAATTAGGCGTGAGTCAAAGAGGCAATGTCCTACCATGTCCTTTGTCGTTGTGCCAGCCTTTCTTTTTGCTGCTGCTGTTGCTTTTGCCGCCTGCTGGTCGGCGCCCCTGCACTTTCAACGCTAATGGCGCACAAAACTTCCAATTACTGTCTAAAGTGGCAGAGGAGCTCGGCGCTGAGCGCAAATAAAAACGTCATTTACCTGAACGACACGGCGGAAATGGACTCGCGCCGATTGCGTCCGAAGAGCGTTGGCGGCACAGCCGATATGGTGACCACTGAGTGTCGACGGCCGCCTGCGGTCGGATTTGACTTCTGCGAGAGTGTGGCCAAAAATTCGACCTCCTTGGGACTGATGCCGCCCGTCTCGCCGCCCACCTCGGATAGGCGTCGCACCTGGCTGGCGGTGATGCCCTCGGTTATTTGCAATGAGGGCAACGAATGCTTGCGTCTCTGCTGCATATCAGGAAAGGGGCACAACAGATACGGATTAACTGGTGAGTCCGGCTCCGAATCGTCGCTATTGGTGCGTTTGGTGGCACTCGGATCAAAACCCCCAGCAGCGCCCTCCAGCTCATCGCCATCCTCAACGGCATGCGACTCCTCGACAACAATCAGCGGCTCTTGAGTGCTCAAATTGAACACGGGCGTAAATGAGGAGCGACGCATCTTGGCTGTGCTGAACTTCGTCTCTGAAATGATATAAGAAAACAAAAAAAAAGAAGGTAAATAAATAAAATCATTCAGCAAAATCAGTTTTCAAACTTTTTTTACCAAATTAAAATGAACCGCACAGCTGAGCTTTTCGCATTGTTTGAGTTGCGTGTGCGAAACTTTTGTCCACTTTCTTTTTTTTATCAATATATGCCGAGTTGCCAACTATATGTGTATACATATATGCCCATCAAGCATATGTATTTGTTTGCCGAAGATCGTACACATTGTGTTATATGACAAATAAAAGGACTGCGGTCATTCAATTTCGATTGTGGCTAGGAAAGTGCACAACCACGAGATGAGTTTGCTCTTTGCAACTTTTGCAATTATGCAGCAAATATATATAATATGCTTACTATCAAGCGTAGAATGCTGTATATAAAAGCTTTGACTAACTTTTTTCACCGCCTAGAGATTGCATTTCTGAAAATTTCGCTTTGGTGCTCACTTTCAACCAAACAGAAAGCTTCCGCAATAATTTCAACTTGTTAAAGCCTTACGGCTTGGTTCAGTCAGCACAAGCTCTTTTTAACTTACATCGGTTTTTATGTGAACAAACTCCATGCTAGTCTGTATGGATCTATACTTATCTTAGCCTTTGCTTCAAATTCTGGTCTATATATGTTCTTGGCATAATCATCACAAGCACATAAATCTATAAATAATACAACTCAAAGGTATTGGAAAGAAATAATACACACTCATATTGGCAAAAAATAATTATATAAATAAAATTCAAATCCTTAAATTGTTTGATGCCAAATTGATAAACTGAATGGGCGATACGATGCGTATCGTAAAAGGGCTGCATAAGAGGATGATTAAGCAGAACTTTAAGTATTGTTTCAGCCGATGCTCAGTAAAAGAACGACCCGGATATAATGGAGACCCAAATCTTAAGCTGTCAGGCTTGTCAGATTGAGTTGGTCAATTGCTCGAGCTTCGTTTGATTTCAGGGGTTCCTTACTGTTGAAAATAAATGTCATTAACTTAGCATTTATATTTGTATTTAAATAATCTCGCCAAATATTAGTGCCTCGACAATGCAAATGCTGCCTCGATTGCCTGCAAATGATACAATTTCAATTAGCTAAATTAAATGAATAAAAAGGTTGAGCAGAAAAAACAAACCCCTTTTTAAGTCGGACAGAACAATGGCAAATGGGCACGAGCGTCATTAAATGGCGGCCAAGGCGAAAGTGCGCTTTAAACAAAAAATAATATATTGTATACTTTTAGGGGCTCACCGAAAGAGGGTGAGCGAAAAATTACGCATTCGCCGTGCTGTACGCAAACAAAGCAAAATAAATGCGTAGAAAAAACAAATGAAATTTTTCAGCAATAGCCAAAAAAAAAAAAGAAGAACAACGACAACAAAAGGGGTAAGAATAACACAGTCTTTTAGTGAGTACTAGATACCATTTTGTTATCATCAAATGGATTTCAACTTGGCTGATGAAAGAGATAGAACTATAAAAATAAAAAACCTAGTCAAAATGGTTTTGAGAAGTGCATGTCAGCCTTTTGTCATAGCACTGGAGATTTGAAACGATCCCAAAGAGATATGTGTTTTACCTTGAAATTGATTTGGGGTTTGGGAAATCGATTGAAAGATATTCGAGAACTGTGGAGAACTGTGAATGTGCTTAATAGTTGACTGCACTTTTCATTAGTATACAAGCACGCCTTGCCTATTTTCATCTATATAGGGTGCTCGAAAGTGTGACACGTGTTGTGATTCCATGCCAGTGTGTGTGTGCGTACGTGTGTGTACATGTGTGCGTGGCTGACGACGCCAGCTTAATGTGTCTACTGGGCTTTTGCTGTTGTGTTTTTCACTGCTGGCGCCAACAGGCCGTCAACTCAATTGATGTTCGACACACACACACGCACACACACACACATATGTACACCCACACTGACTGCTATGTATAGCATGTGTGTGTATTTAGTGCTGACTTATCCATTGCCGAAACGAGAATAATGAGCACTATTAATAGCATCTGACTGACGATTGGCTGCGATTCATTCAATTTCAAGCCAGGAAAACTGCCAGAAGGTGGAGTGGCGTGAAAAACGTGTCACTTAATCAGCATTAAAGAGCCAAGCAATATAATTAGCTAGCGAACACAAAGCACACACCAAGCACTTACATAGTAAGCAAACGCCCACACACCAACACACAACCACACACACACACACACACTCACACACACACACAAAGGACACACAACACAACAATCATAAGAAAATCGAAATCAACAAATGTAAACCTGAGTCTCACGTAAATCTCATTTAAATTTCTTTTTGGTGCACACAAAAATCGAAATCCGCCGAGCACACTCACACAGCCATAAATGTGCCGTGTATGTGCCAGAGTGCTAGAGTGTGTGTGTGTGTGTGTGTGTGTGTATGTACGTGTGTGTGTGCATGTGTGCGTGCGTGCGCCATAGAGTTCGAGTTTATTACCAAAACGCTTGGGATGCCGCTGGGGGGAAAAAGAGCAAGAGGAAAGAGATACAACGGATGCCGAGCAGGTGGAAGCGAGCTTAAATGGTCGATACCCTGTATAATCTTTATCAAAATGATACCCGTATTATATATTATAAAAGGGTATATGCAGGGATTGCATTAAAAAAGTGCAGTATGTTGACTCAGACTGTACAAAAAAAAAAAAAAAGTAAGTAAATATTATACTTCTTTATTGACATTTGTAGAAAACGTAAAACGTTTGTTGTATCTTCTCTTTGGCATCTTTAACTTGTCTCGTCTTTTGAAATATAAACCTTTTTGATTTTGCACAATGAAAAAAAATTGTTAATAAATAAAATAATTGAAGCGCATTTTACCATTTCGTAAGTAAGGGCAACATTTGAATCGAACGTTGTGTGTTATGGTCTCAACTCTTGCATCGAATATTATTTGATGTGCCTTATTATTGACTTCTAAAGCGTTTAATGTATGGCAAAAATATTTTAAGCTTGATGCTTCTATTGTGTTGCTCAATTTGTAGAACTTTTCTCAAAGACAGAGATAGAGGGGGAGAGAAACTTAAGCACATTGCATGCATAAGCGCAGCTTGCATTTATGATGCAAATGCATTCGCATGTTTATTAAATGTCTATAAAGTTAATCTATTTTGGTGATTCGAGCTCTAAAACAATGTAAGATATACTAGCTCACTTTGTCTACGTGTTCAAGAGATCTAGCTGCAAACGGGCAGCCAGACGAGCATTGCGCAAAACGAATATACTCTTGTTCATCTTGTACATCGACCAAGGCTGACAAAACAAAAAAGTTAACAGAAAAATGTAAAAGCGAGCTATGTTGGACTAGTCGACAATATTTGCATCTGCCCAAAAGTAAGCAACACGTTTGGCCAGAAAAAGAGCTGGAGCCCGTACTAAAGGTAAAAGAGTACTACATCTATTCAAAAATGTCTAGTTTTCGATCGACTTACAAATTCTTTCAGGTTTGGCGAAAACACAAAACCTTAATGCCAATATTCTTAAAAGTGGTCAGTAACTTCGGACAACCCCTTTTATGGAGCACACACAAAGTTAACAGGGTACATAAATTCGTAGAAATATATGTCATATAGCCAAAAAGGGAGCAGAGTTGATGAATTCGCGGAAACCTACAGCATATTGCTTAATTGCCAGCAACCCCATATATACATATACATAAATATACAGTATGGCACTAATAGCAAAACATAACCACAATGCGGTTTTCATACATGCTGAATCCCTTCAGGCCATTTAAGCAATTACAATTCCATTAAATAACTCCTACTGCTGCAGTTTCTGCCCTCCTTCAAAATTCAATTAATTTGAAGGCCATTGCAATATGCAAAGAACGGAAAATTCGATTAGTTACTGCAGCTAAATCGAACGAAAATAGAGACTACTTCCCAGAACAATTTATGAAATTAATGATGACATTATTATTATTACAATTATCAATATTATTGTTAATAGCCCGAACATCTATGGCCAACGACCAACACAATACGACACACAAGGGTCGCCTGGGATTCAATCTAGAATAATCCTTAATCAGTTGTCTACATGAGAAGCTCACTTAGAAAACTTATCTACAGCAGGCTGCATAATATCTCTCTATATAAAACTGTTTGTCCTCACTGACTGACTGACTGACTGACTGACTGACTGACTGACTGACTGGCGGACTGACTGACTGACTGACTGACTGACTGACTGACTGACTGATTGACTAACTGACTGACTAAGTGACTGATTCACTGACTGGCTGACTGACTGTCTGACCAACTGACTGAGTGACTGACTCCTTGACTGACTGACTGACTGACTTAGTGACTGACTCACTGACTAGCTGACTGACTGTCTGTATGACTGACTGAGTGACTGACTAGCTGACTGACTGTCTGACTGACAAACTGAGTGACTGACTCCTTGACTGACTGACTGACTAAGTGACTGACTGACTCCTTGGCTGACTGACTGACTCACTGACTGGCTGACTGACTGTCTATATGACTGACTGAGTGACTGACGACACACAAGGGTCGCCTGGGATTCAATCTAGAATAATCCTTAATCAGTTGTCTACATGAGAAGCTCACTTAGAAAACTTATCTACAGCAGGCTGCATAATATCTCTCTATATAAAACTGTTTGTCCTCACTGACTGACTGACTGACTGACTGACTGACTGACTGACTGACTGGCGGACTGACTGACTGACTGACTGACTGACTGACTGACTGACTGATTGACTAACTGACTGACTAAGTGACTGATTCACTGACTGGCTGACTGACTGTCTGACCAACTGACTGAGTGACTGACTCCTTGACTGACTGACTGACTGACTTAGTGACTGACTCACTGACTAGCTGACTGACTGTCTGTATGACTGACTGAGTGACTGACTAGCTGACTGACTGTCTGACTGACAAACTGAGTGACTGACTCCTTGACTGACTGACTGA